GGAGGAGGAGGAGGAGGCGGTATGCTGTTTAGGATGTGTCTAAACAGTGACGGTAACATTCATAGACCTTCTACCAGGTGAGCTGTATATAAAGTCAGAACTTTAGCTGCCTTTAGTTGCAGCTCAGCCTCAGAAACCTCTTCAAATCCTCTTCAGCAGCTGAGGAGACGCCACGGAGACCCAGACCCTGGGAGGGTTTTTAAAGAAATCCTGAGTGGGTTATTACCTCTCTCTGTGGTGCTAGCGTTGATTTCTTCGGAGGTAAACGCGGTTCCAGATCGGCAATAATGCACAAATAAAGTGCGTGGCTGCACCTTTATGAGCGCGTTATCGTTGTTATTATTATTATGATTATTATTGTAAGTGTTGTGCAGGGGGAAATTAAAATACAGGGCAGAGGCTGAGAGTCGGTTTGAGGAGCTGCTGATGAGCCGTTAGTCTTGTCTAAGATTATGATTACACTTCAGATTTAAGAAGCAAGACGTTAGCTTTCCTGTGTTTTCCGGGTGCGATTTGGGTCAAATTCAACTCAGTGACGAGATTTTGAAGGAGAAGTAATTAGCTTTGGTGGTAATATGTGAATTACTTTATTTATTTTTTATTTTATGGTTTGAACTGTATTTGACAATACTGTTACTTCAGAGGACTAATCTAAACTGTAGTTTTACTTTCAAATGTACAGGCTTTTAGGTCAGTGTATCTTTTCTTTCTTAGTGTTTACGTTGATGTTGAAGTTTATAGGTGTAGTTGTTTTTAATAAACGTGTTCTTTTTATGAAGGAAACGAGATTTGGTAGTGAAATTTGAAGTTTGCTCCCAAACGATTCTACGAGTCTGATGTTTACTTTTTAAGATGTTTCAGAATAAGATGTTTTGTCTTGTTACAAATATTTTCAATTTAGTTTATTTCTTCGATTTATTGTCCTTTGTTTAAATAATGCTTCTGGTCACGATTTATTTCTTTGTTTAAATAATGCTTCTGGTCACGGTCTTTAGCTAAATCGATCACACGCAAAAAAAAAAAACTATCGGTAACGGTTTTTAACTGACGGTTAAGGAACGATAACAATCTGCCTTGTTATCGGGATTATTCCGGATGTCTGAGATGACGATAATCCCGACATTAACTCCTCAGATAAGTTCTCTTCGGGATCTCAGCCCCTCGGTCTCTTTTTTTCCCCAGCCGTGAGCCGCGGACACCGGGGGTTTCTCGCCGGTACGGATCACGTTAGGAATCCCGGTAAAGACGTCTACGTTAAAGATCCGTTTCATATGAATCAGGTCCAGATAATGTTTGTTTTCAGGGCTGGGGTGAATGTGATCCCCTCTCCTCCCTCCTCACGTAAACACCGGAGATACGCCGCCAACGATCCGTTACGATCACCGTCAAAATCCTTGAAACAAAAATCCTTGATTCGTCCAGGGTTCGAAGTCCAGAGGATGATCCGGATAGTCCGCTGGTCCCGGTCTCATCTGCGGATCCTGGTCAACTTTTCATCAGCTCCATGAGAAGAGAACGAAAAAGGTGGAGGAGAATGAACGTGTCCTTCTGTTGTTGTGCCTCTCTCCATCCACAGGAGAGGAGGAGATGGAGGAGAAAAGGAGGTGATGATGGAGGAGAAGGAGCGTTGATGTAAGTGCGTGTTTCTCCTCGTGGCTTCACTTTAACTCTGAGGTGCGTTGAGAGGGAGAGGGAGGGAGAGAGAGAGAGAGAGAGAGGGGGGGGGGGGGGGGGGGGGGGGGGGAAGAGGGAGAAGCAGAGAGAGAGAGAGAGAGAGAGAGAAAGGGAGGGGTAGGGGAGTAGAGGGGGGGGGGAGAGGGGGGGGGGGGGGGGGGGGGGGGGAGAGGGGGGGGAGAAGGAGGGAGAGAGAGAGAGGATTAGAGGGGGAGAGGAGAGGGAGTATGGTTGGTTGGAAGTCAGAAGGAAAGAGAGGTGGCTGGGTGTGGAGGACAGAAAGAAAAGGATGGGCGAGAGGTAGGGGCAGAGGGGGAGAGAGGGAGGTCAGAGGGTACAAGGAAGGAGAGAAGGGAAGGAGATTGGTTGGTATAATGAGAAAAGAGGAGAAAAAAGGTAGGGAGGAAAGGAGAGGTGGTTGAGAGGACAAAGGGAGGAAAAAGGGAAAAGAGCAAAATTGTTAAAGGTAGACAAGGGAGGAGGTAACAAAATGGGGGAGACCGAGAAAGAGAGGAAATAAGAAACGAGACAGGAAAGGGGAGACGGGGAGGGGAGGTTTGGCAGGCAGAAAAAAAAAGAAAAGAAAGGTGAAATAAAATAAAAGGGGGGAGGAGGAAGACGGAGGGAACGGGGGGAGAGAGGACAGGGGAATACATGTGCTAAGAGAAACAAATAGAGGTAGTTTTGAAGGAACAGGTGAGGGTGAAAAATGGAGACTCCGTCCTCCGCACTCCGAGTGTTTATTTGAATGTTTTAGAAGAAAGAACAGAGTGATGCATGATGATGTCACAAAGAGAGAGAGAGAGAGAGAG